TTCATAGTTGGGCATGTGTAAAAGGAAGCCAAACACTGGAAACAGTTCTCAAGTGTTTCTTGCACAGATACATGTACCTATTTACCTGAAAGTGGCCAGGAAGTTTGACAGGCATGATACTACAATTATTGTTATTGTAAGTAATCAGTAATCTGCAGAAGGTGTGCTCTTCACAGACCCAATGCAATGTTTCACTTTTTTTATGCTGCATTTAGCTGTCTGTCAACCACAGGATGCTCCTAGTCTGTTTTAAATGTTAATATTCTAAAGAAGACAAGGGAATCTTAATTGAATGATCTGTTTGCCAAGCTGCAAGGCATGCACAGAACCTGTACAAGAGAGATCCATAATAAATCCCTATTCCTAAACCCTGGGTGCATGTTTGATGAAGGTAGACTCTTGCTATAAAACAAGAATGCAGAAGGACGTACACAGCATTTCATGTGAGGAAGTATCTGATTGTTAAACAGGGACTTTTCAAAACCAAAAATCCTTTATATTTTCTGGTTTGTGCAGCCAAATTTTGTGGAAGGATGAACTGAGAATTGTTTGCAAAGTTCAGTTCCTCTCAAAGTATGCTCTACTCCAGAATCAAAATGCATAAATATCTGAAGTATATAAAACATACATTTTATGAATGCTGACACATAACACCAAGTCCCCAACAGACTGAAATACTGTTTGCATGTTACATTAACCAAAACTTCAACTTCAGTATGTTTCCATATTCTGACTCACTTCTGACTAGGTGGCAAGAAGAAAAAGTGTTTATGATGCACTTGAATTGCAAAGCAAGACCTATTTCACACAGTCTTCACCCTCTGGGATCTCAGTTAATATAAGCCTTATTTCATTTTTGCAATGTTCAGTGTCATTATCACACATCATTAATTTAATTTTATTTCCCAAAAATTAAGAAGTACCTTTCTATTATGAGGCTTAGCATTACCTTTTCAAGACATAATGGTCTAGTGTTTTGTCAGTTGTTTTATGAAATAAAATGTCTTTCTTTGTGAAATGCTTCTGCAGATTCAGTGACACCTCAGGCAAAAAAGTCCTACTTTTATTAATAATCCTCATTATATTATTTGGCAAAGTGTTTACTAATCAGAAGCCCACTGTTGTGATTTTGTGCTATTTTTTGTGAGGCTGCTCATTCAGTACCAAAAATGTATGATTTTGTTGTGGTGGTAGTTGTTAAACTGAGCAGGAGCCCTCCAGTTATTTTCAAGGAAGGGCAAAAAAATTAAGTAATATTTCTAGAAGTGCAGTGGCATAAAGCCAATATTAGTGCAGTTCGCAACTACAAGAGCATATTTTTCTTTACACAAATAAGTGAATTTTGAAATAGCAGAATCTAAGTTTGTTATCAATTACAGAAGAGTTAAATAGATTCTTAGAAGCATAGCTAATGTAAAAATGTATATGTGAGAATTATGCAAAGTATAGCTACACTGTTTCGTAGGTGATTATTAGTCCCTTTAAGGGTTTGTGGTTACATATGCAATTATAATATAAATAAAAAACAGCACCTGAAAGCACTGTTTAGCTTATGCTAACTACTACAGGTATGTCATAAAGTCCTAACATACATCAGTATCATATAGTATTTAAATATCCATGTGATGCCTGTATATAGTGCTATGTTTTATTTATTTCATTTAGATATGTGATTGTTGGTGCCAGATCAATACAGAGAATATTAAGATAACCACTTTTTTGAAAAAGTCTGTTGCTGGCCAGTCAGCAGTACTGCAGTCTTCAGACTCCAGGGATAATTAGCCCAAATTACGCTTTGAATAGCTTTTGAGAAAAATTAGACTACATATGCAAAGTCCTTTGAGGAGATTATTGAAACATTTTCAAAATAAATGTTGTGATAATGCCTCCCTACTAGCACTATTTTATTTGCAGACAAAAAGATATGTTTCAAAATGTTTAAAAAATCAGAAAGTGCATATTTATGTATAAACACAAATATACATACCTCTATATACACATGCTTGCAGTATCCAATATGTACATGTAGAACAACATGTAGAATATACATACACATATTGGATAATATATAATATACATATTATACACTGTTTCATATTATATTAAAATTTAAATATAAATATATAAAAATACATGTATAGATGTATATACATACATGTCTATTTCTGTATACACACTTATTATATTTAAATATACATATAAGTACATTCAGCATCCTCAAACCTTTTATCTAAGTAATTTTTCATGTTTTTTATGTATTACTGCACTGTTACTATAAAAAAAGAATATGTAAAGTATAATATAAAATACCAAGTATAATGTAAAACTACAGACTCATTCTTACAAAGCTTAAGGAAAAACACACCCAGCAACAGTTTATAAAGTTTGTGTTTTCATTTCTCCTTCCTTACTAGGAAAGATAATAAATTAAGCAGAATAAAAAGCTAGTAAGATATTGCTATGTTGTTTACAATTAATCATTTAATAAAGTTCTGAATATGCCATTTTTTACTTAATTCTGTAGTATTCGTGTGAATAGCCTTCACCAGAACTACTTATTTAGTCAATGACACATAATGCAAGTGAAAATTGCAGAATTAGACTTTGAAAGGAATATTAAAAATACTAACAAAATCACCAGAGCAACTCTGCAAGATACTGAGTACTTTTAAGCTAATCTGACATGAACTCATGGGCAGGATGAACTTAGAGTGTTTTCTAAAAGTTAAGAGATATACACAGGTTTAACTGCTTTGCTGAGTGGAAGAGACAATGAACAGAACTTTGTTGCTCTGTTTTTTTGAGGCTTTTTGAGCAATATTTTTCTGTGTTGAGAATCATTCCTTAGAATAAGGAAAATCACTTAGATTTTGTTCTCAGCCGTGCCAGAGATTTCTTCATGAGGAAGGTCTGTCTCATGATGTCAAATTCAATCTGATCGATTAGATTCATCCCCAGTGAAATAAATACAAAGAGTAAAAATTATTTCTTGTCTTGCACAACTGTAGAAGTGTTCAATTTGTCAGCACTTGGGCACTGTGTTAAAGACCTCATGTAAGTAAGAGCATAGAGTTGGTGAGCACCAGATGGTGATTGGGAGGATATTGTGGGTGGACTCTGAACAGAGTGATACTGATATTATCCAGAGGAGTTCACCAGTCCAACTGGCTGCACAGGGTAGGTGAAGCACTAGATAGAGGGGGAAAAGGCACTGGACAGGTTGGACTTAGCATTATAGAATCACAGAATGGTTTGGGTTGGAAGGGACCTTAAGGCTTATCTAGTTCCAACTCACCTGCTGTGGGCATGGACACCTTCCACAAGAACAGGTTGCTCCAAGCCCAGTCCAGCAGGCCTTGAACCCTTCCAGGGATGGAAGGGTCCACAACTTCTCTGGGGAACCTCTACCAGTGCCTCGCTATCCTCTTAGTGAAGAATTTCTTCCTAATATACAGTCTAAAACTACTCTCAGTTGCATTTATCCACTTCCAATGAGCTCTGCTCAGGCAATGCAAGACAGAGTGGCAAACTCAAAACACATCAGCGATGTGTTTTACAGAGCAAAGAATATATTAACTGATGTCCAAAGTACAGTTGTTTTGCAGTTTCTTGAAGAAATTCAGTGTTTCTGCCTGTGGGGGATATTTTGGAAATAGCTGCTTTTTAGTGTATTCCTCAGGCAAAACAATCACTTTTTATGAGCTAAGAATAAAAGTCAACCTTGTCAAAGTTGGTTTGGAAATTTATAGAGAGGGACATGAAATACTGGAGGCCACAATATCTTTCCAGCCCCCTTCAAATTTGGCATATCAGTGTGGTGTGCCTCTAGACCTACTGTTTTCTAGCAACAACTTCAGCTTTCCTGTTCAACTTTCCTACAAAAATATTAGTGCTGAATAATGAGCTGTGCCACAGACATGTCCATCCCCTCAGCTTTGTGTGTATCATTCAGCTTTCTGCTCTTTAAGTTTCTATTGGTTTTCATAGATGTAATTTACTATTTCCCATTACTTTATTTTTTCCTCCTAGCTCACCGTTGCTGGGTTGTTTTTTCAGTCTTTACCTTCAGAGGCATTTCTGTCATTCCCTGCCTTTTGTTTCTTCATTTTGTCTCCTTTACCCTTTTCTTTTCCTCTCATTGCATTTTCTCCCACATCCCTACTGTTCATCCACCACCCTTCACTGTTCTGACTCTCATTTTGTGTGGTCACACCTTCCAGTTTTCCCTACTTACATAGCCGTGCTCAGTTGTTCTGCCTCTGCAGACCACAATGCTCTCATCAGGTCTTTGGCATTCACTTCACAGCAACCCCTTGATCACTTGTGCACAGCCAGGCCTTCTGCTGGACACAATAAAGCACTTGGCTGGATAGTGCAGATCTCTAGGATTTTGAAGCCTAATTGGGCGGCACTTTTCTATCCAGAGAAGTGTCATGGATGCATGTGGCTGCTCTTTCAGATACAAGAGGGCCAAAGAAAACTCTTTATCAGAAGAGCTTAGGCCACCACTCCTTTTGGTAGATGGTGCTGTTGAATCATAGTCTGCCTTACAAAAGCACTGTCTTCACGTATTAAGCACTGCAACTGTTGAGGGTGGAGAGAAGGTACCAGTCCTGTGTGCCACCTGAGGAATTTAACCACCATCAAATTACCCAGTCCAGCTTTGTCACAAAGTCTGTTTCAGAGTGGATTTAAAATTATCACCCATATGCTAATTTTAAAACATACCTGAAATATTTACTGCAAGTGTAATTATTGCAAGTGTATTTTATTACAAGTGTAAAGTTTAATATCATGAGCAGTAACCATATTTCTTCCTGCTTTCAACTCTTCAGCCTCTCTTATTTCAATGCTTGTGGTTTATAAAAGTACAGACATGCTGTATCTGTCTTTTAGCAGCATGACATGGCCCAAATTCTGAGTTGACTTGCACCATGTGCAATTATTAAATCCAATGAGTTGTGTTACGTGAAAAATCCCCTGCAAGGATCCCTGAGCTTGAATAGAAAAATCCCAGCACTTCTGAGTGTACAAAACAGATGTGAAACAAAGGTTGCTGCACACCCCAGATGCTGGGTTGTGTTCTTCTCAGTGCTTTTCCCATGTAACCACAGAGCAATGCGAATTAGTTTAGAGTTGTTTTGCTCCTATCAATATGGATACAGTGGCCAGAATGCCCAACACACTGACCATGCCCAGGCACTTGCTCCTAACCCAAACCTTACTTACTCTGCATGGGGGTAAATGTGAGGTTCACCCTCAGCTGCTTCTTTGTGATACCCTACATTGCCCCACAAGGTGTTCTTAATCTGAGTGAAACATTTTGCAGGCATACAAGGTTTTTCAAGGTAACCTGCCTTACCAGTGCATGAAAAATTCTTCTTTACTATTTCATGGAAGCTGGTGTATTTTCAGACATGACCACACACATCTGTATTAAATCAAATTTGCTGAGTGTGTCTGTATGTGGGCTAACAAAAATGAATGCTCCAGCTGTAGGCACTGCAGGGACCTATTAGACTAAATTTCATTCCTAAATCTTTCTGTATTTAAAAATTAATTTTGTTACTTGCACTCTCTGCCAATTAGTTCTTATTTTATTTATTTTCTTATTTTCTCAATATTTTCCAAATGAAACATTAAGTGACCCATTTTAATGAAGGAGTTTATTCTTAGTTTTAAGTGTCATATGAAAGTCCCTCAAGTGGTGTCGTGGGTTTCTCTGGCTGTTTTTTTTTTTTTTCAGTGGGGGGTCTATATAGGGTGATTTCTGCTAGAAGCTGCTGGAAGTTCCCCCCTAGTGGAGCCAATGACAGTTGGCTACAGGAGGGACTTCTTGCTGTTTGGCCAAGGGAGAGCCAATTGTTGTGCCTTTGTGATAACATATTTAAGAAAAAAAGTTGTTGCACAGAAGAAATTGGAGCCAGAAGGGTTGCAGAGGGAAGCCGCCAGGCCCGGGGCCAGGCCCCGCAGCCCCGTCCTGGGGGCTGTGGCCGGGCTGGGGCGGTCCCCTGCTGCATCCCCTGCTGCGGTGGGGGTGGCGGCCATGGCCCGGGGCTGCGTGGCAGCTGGCCGGAGGCAGGCACAGCACTGAAGCCGAGTCAGGCCAGCCCCACCGGTGGGCACTGCCCCCCTCACCCCTGCTCATCCCAACCGAGCCGGGACGGTCTGGGGGCAGTCCCGCCACATTGCAGCTGAGCCCATGATGGAACAAATGGATGCATGAAAATGAAGGAGGACTGCTACCCTCGTGGGAGTCCCAGGAGTTAGTGGGGTCCTTCGGAAGATCTGTGGCTTGTGGAGAGGGAAGCCCATGCTGGAGCAATTTTTTCTGGGTAGGACTCTGTGGCCCCTGTGGGGAACCCACACTGGGACAAGACCCTCCGTCAAGGACTGCATTCTATGAAAAACCATCAGGGTACAGAGACCCCCTGCACCCCGGGACCTGCGGCCTGGGGGAGGGGTGGACCCATGTTAGAAGGGTCCGCCAAGGACAGTTTCCCATTGGAGGGACCCACAAGACAGGGGAAGGACTCAGAGCTTTGGCCCCCCTGTAGCCTGTGGTGAGGGACCATGCTGGAACAGACTGTCCTCTGCAGCCCATGGAAGGGTGACTCAGAAGTGCAGCAGATATGGAAGTCCTGTTGCTTTATAGGTGAACTTCTCTTCCTGCACTGATGCAGAGGGAGGAGGGATGGTTGAAAAGTGTGTTTAAAATTGTTTTATCTCTCATTCTTTAGCTCCTATCCTGTTAGTAATAAATTTTAGTATTATCCCCATGTTGAGTCCATCTTGCCTGTGTGACCTCTCCCAGCTCTTAGCGATTTTCGTGGATGGTTAGATTCCAGCCAAGGTCAACCCACGACAAGTGGAAATTATTACTCAGAAAGCTCAAGGAAGTGATCAAACATACAAGTTTTGGCAAGGATAGGCCCTCAGACTGCTGTGGAAATCTTCTGTAGAAAAAGTTAGTGAGGTAAATAATTGTTTGCAGGACTAAGCCCAGACACAATAAGTGTGAATGTGAGAAACAAGAAGTTTATAGAGATGTTAGTTCATGATAAATGTCAATGTATTTGTAAAAGATGTTTTCATCTCTGGCGTAAAATTTACACCATAACTCTATATTGTAGGTGTCAATATAAATACAAAAAAATTCTTTAGGTAATATATTTCTAGAGTGAACATATTTCACATAAAACTCAATGATTCAAAATAAAAAGAGATAGCACCAAGTGCCCAGAAATGCAAATAGTGAAGCACACAAAGCTTTGTTGACTTCTGTGGGACTGAAGAAAGTTACCTGTACTCCTAAGTGTTCTCATTATTGTGTTCTAATAACGTCGCCTCTTTTTATTAAAAACACTAGCACCCCTTGAAAAGAATAAAGATCCTGCTACAGTATCGGTTCAGGAAAAGCCACTGACTAGCTCACCAAGTTACTAATTTCATAGGGGAATGCAAACGAGCATTTCTTTTACAGTGGTATCCACTTCTTTTTGGGCTCAACTGCTTGACTGAGCAGTAAGTAGTCTGCAATGATTCATGTCAGAGAGACTTTCAGAAAATCAGTATTTCTTATTTTGCTCACCTCTTTCCCCTGAGAATATTAACCTGTAGGTGACCTCTTCCAGTAATAAATTATTCCTTAATCTCTGCGTCCCTGTGCCTGCTGAGAGCTTGGAGATGTCATTCATCCCCTGTGTTTGGCTCATGCTGTATCTGCTAAAGGGGTGCAAGATGATTGCACATGGCAGTTGAAAACTACTCTAGATGATATGCAGTAAACCACAACCAATGTTTATTATTAATATTTTCCAGACTTTCTGTTGGTAGATAAAGCCAAGTGAAATCTTATATTTCTCACTAGATGATAAAACAATTTTCAGATTTTACTTTTGTGCCAAAACTGCACCTGCAATTATTATCAGGTAAAAGTATGAAGCTACAAGATTGTGTTCATAAAGAAATTTATGTAGAAGGAAGAAAAACCTTGAGAATGCCATAAAGTTCTCCATTTTCCTCTCTAAGGGAGCAAACTAGCCCATGCCAAAGGAAGGGGATCAGGGCTATGGATCCAGGAGATCCTTCAAGTAAGTGACAGGTAAAAAGTGCTCTGGATAAGAGTTCTGCAGATGAACAGCAGCACAGGTGACTTAGAAGCCATGCTGGTGAAGCTTCTCCAGGTATTGTGATGAGCAGCACACAGGGTCCTCTGAAAAGCAGCACAGAAGCTGAGGATGGAAGCTAGTACTGATGAATTGGCAATTCCTTGCAGAATTCACTGGACAACCTCAAGGAAAGTGTGCTGTGGAGGCTTGTGTCATTTCCCAGTTCAAGGCCTTCCTTGTTTCCATGCTGCTCTAATGCCTTTTAGGGGGAATTCTTCTGATCATATTCACTACCATCATAGGTTTTGGTGTTTATGGAAGGGAGAAAAGCACCAGACTGATCTGTACTGATCTGATTCATGTACTTAGAAATGCAATAGCTCATTATACTTTGATTTCATTACACCTAAATGTCTGTTCTGATTGCAGTGTGACATTGCAGACAAATAGCAGCAAACTTGTGTTGTTTATGATCAGGAAAGGAAGATCAGAATTTAATTTTTTTATCTTCTCACAAACATTTCTGTCAATTCACAAATATTATATGATTATAGAATCATAGAATGGTTTGAGTTGGAGGGATCATTAAAGATCATCTTGTTTCAATGCCCTGCCATGTGCAGGGACACTTCTCACTAGACCTGGTTGCATGAGACGTCCACCACAACATCTCTGGACAGTCTGGTCCAATGCCTCATCACCCTCACAGGAAATAATTTCTTCCTAGTATCCAATCTAAACCTACTTTCTTTAGTTTGAAGCCATTCTCCCTATGTCCTATTGCTACATACTCTTGAAAGTAGTTCCTCTTCAGATTTCTCGTAGGCCAGCTTTAAGATTTATTATAACGTTACATTAAAATACTTTTTGTAAACACTCTATGTATTTTTAAAATAAAAATCCTTAGAAACTTATTATTCCATTTTCCCAGAGTGCGTCACTGAGAATGAAGATCAACAATCCTTGTCAACAGAGTCAGTTTTTTCATTTTTAATGCAAAAACTGTTGCCAGGATGTGCTGGTTTGAAAGTTAACCAGCAGGGGAAAATGAACTCAATTCAAAAGAGAGATTTATAAGTCAGAATAACAATTTATTAAAATAGTACAATAAGTACAATTATACAGACAGATAATTGGTTTTAACCCGCAAAACCCAAATGTATAACCCAGCACCCTGGGGTATGAACAAAATGGTGTACCTTGGCCCACCCCCGAGTCCAAAGCAAAGGGAGAGGGGATAAACCTGCTGGTGGGAGAGCTGCTGCAGTCTGGTCAGAAGTGGTGATTGCAGTCCAGTTGAGGGTGGTGGTCTCAGTCTGGTTGAAGGCGGTGGTCTGCAGTCTACTTGAAGGCAGTGGTCTGGAGTCTTCCTCTGGATCCCACGAGAGGTGGCAAGGTTCCAAAGATCCCAGTTTATATATTCTCTAGTTCAGGTGGGAGTGCCCAGACCCTCCCTCAGAGCAGAGAATTCCATAAAAGGGCATGAGCATGCTCAGTCCCTCCCTCAGAGAGGGGAATTCCATAAAAGGATATCAGAGCGGGGAATTCCATAAAAGGGTATGAGGACAGGAACATAGGCCTCTACTGACAAAAGTTTTTGGGAAATGGCATGGAGGGCCATAGAATACACAGTTTTGTGTTACACCCATCCAGTGATGAATTGGTCCCAGCCGTTCTAACCAGGACACAGGAAAAAACCAACAAACTAACTACATAGATCTTTCGTTTTTGTTTTGATGCTTCATTGGAAGAATAAAAAATTCCATGGGAAACTAAGGTTGGAAACAAAGGGAAAATGTACAAATGCTGAAAAGGCCTTTTTTTCAAACAAGTCTGAAATTTTTAGGTAGTATATTTTCTCTATTTTTTTCCCCCTCCACATCCAGAGCCAAAAAGGAGATTGGATTATTCCCCATAGGGTCAACAAAAATTCCCCCACTAGTTCCTACTTTCTGGAGGACCTGGTCTCAGCCAGAAGTTGTTTATGACCTGTGTTTTACCTTGGGCTGTGTTTATTTATATCTAAAGACTATCTCACTTTGCTGCCTGCCATATGTAAAGGATGAGATCAAATTGGTACAGCATTGACAGCCAAAACCAGACTAAGTTTTCAAGTAATCTTAAATGAGAAACTTACAAACATGCTGTGAGTATGCTCAGTGGACTTAATATGGCGGGCCAGGTGCTTGAGAAAGGGGAAATGTCTTTGTTCTATGCCATGAACATTTCTTCTTGATAACAGTTTTTTATCAACAAACTAACAGCTCAAACAGAAACGCCTTATTGTTTGTATGTTAACCCAGCCTAAAAAATAGCTTGCCATGTCGTCAGCATAACTACATGAGATGGGAATGAGAAGCCATTTGAGGACTTTGCCTTCCTCAGTGTGGACATTTGTTCTGACATGTCTCCTGGAAAAGAGAGAAAGATAGGAATGGTCCAAGCAATATTCTCCATAGAGGAGGCCACTTTGCCTATAGCAAAGGGATGCCATTGCTGGTCTGTGCTGATGTACTTTGTCACAAAGAGATTTGCAGGTCTTTACTGTGTCCTTGTGTGTGTCTTAAAAACAGCATGCTACTGACTGTAATCCACAAGGCTGATCTTCAGGAGAATTCTGTTGTTTTCTGTTGGAAAATACTGCATGCCAGATGCCAATTGTTCCTTCTTTGCAGTATTTGAACCAATCATGTGTTGTTAACATCAATAAACAAGTGCTCTCCAAAATGCAACACTCAAATCAAGAAGAAAAACCCTCGTTTTGCAGCAGAGCATCTTGTGCCTCCTTAATCTGCAGATGCTGATGGGCAACATTTGATCAGTGGTGACTGGTTTTGTTTTGGCCTTGTTTTCTGCTGTGAAAATGCCAACGAGGGTCTGATTAGGATGCTGAACATATCATTAGCAATATTGCTAGTAAAAGAACAATTCCCAACGATTACTAGCAGTCTCTCCTCATGGTGAAATTGTCATTTCAGCTCAGGGAACTGGAGCAGAGGAAGTGACAGGTGGTGCTGAAAGTCCGTGTGCCTGTCCGGCCATGTCCATGCTGCAACTGGAGTTACCAGGATGGAGGGAAGTTCAAGTTCGCTACTGACATTCAGCTGTCACGGCTTCATTGTCCGCATGCCTTCCCTTCTTTGACACATTCAAGGGTACTTTATCTGCACCACAAAGAGCTAGTCAACTGATATAATTGCACTCTCCTCAGGTACTTGTTCAGGACTGTTGATACAGTCTCAGGTTTATTCATTAGCTGAGCCATTGAAATTGTGGCTTGCCAACTCTTCTCCTAACAGTGCGAGTTTGCTTATTTGGTCCAAATATTTAACTATATTTGTTTAAAGTTTTGCACGTTATTCCTTAATTGAGGTTATGTTATCTACATTTTAATGCCATGTCATTTGTGTCCAATAAAAGATTATGTGAAGAACCCTATCATTTACCACATTGGTTTAAATATAGCCATCTGCAGAGAATAAAAATATACATAAGAGATGTAACGAAGGGAAAAAAACCCAGATATTTATTTGCTTTGAAATCCAATTACTAAGAAATAGAGTCTGCAATGAAAAAAAGGGGAAAATGTAAGCTTGGGTCAGGGAAAGAGACAGTGATTAGCTCCATTGTTTTGGACTCTTTGAGCTTCATTGGTCCAGAGAAAAACCCACTAATGAGTATACTGAAGCTTGCTAAACTTTGGAAGACAACTTATGTTGTGGTGCTCATCTGACTCGTGGTAGCAAAGTGTGTTTATACAGAAAACAGCAAAAGTGCTTCTTTATTAACTGCTTTCCTACACAAGCCCTACTGAGATTACTGATGATAGCTTACTCGAAAAATATACTTTACCTGTAAGAGCAGTTCTTTGATTCAAAACTTCAATTTTTGGGAATCCTGGTGTTATGTGCTACAGGAAATTTTAAAACTCATTTTAATGCTCTTTTAATAATTAAGCCAGAAGAAAGTTTGGTTTTTTTGAACTTGCTTTGGATATATTTATTTTGATATTTGTCTTGATGCTTGGTCAAGGACTTGAAGTGTGTACAGCCAGACCTCAACACCACGGTAAACTTTGCCATTGCATAAGTTATATATCAGAAGCTATTGGTTGGTAGATGTTCTACTCAGAAACACAGAGTTTACCACACAAAACTATCTCCTTATGTTTTTTTTCCTGCCAGCTTGAGCTGCTTTGTCCCAGGGCTGGTGCAGGAGAGGTTGCAGCAGTGTAAACTTACCACCAGCACGGCTTATCTGATGGAGAGGGACCACCTCTAGAGGCTGCAAGTTGCTGAAGCAGTTGACAGGGGTGCCAAGTTAGTGTCAATTGTTGCAATCGTTCTCTGCCATCGTTCATCTCACTTGTCCATTGGGAACCAGCCTGAAACTGCCAAACTAATTTGACAGAAACCAATGAATAGGCACCAGCTAACAACGGTCTTTAGTTACTTACTAGCTATCTGAACCAGCCTGACAAGGACGTGTATTAGGCCTCGTTTGCAATGGTGAAGCACACATGAAAACGTATTTATTGTAATGGGGGTAACAACAGATGATCAAGTGATGATATGAGGGAGCTCTGGAGGTCAATGGTTGTCTCCAGGTGAGGCACCACTGACCTACCCTACAGTGAGAGTCCCATCTACCTCCAGTTGGCTTTACGCTTTATCAGCCAGATCTCATACAGTTTTTAATAATTTTATCTGGGTCTCCAGTGGAAAGCTACAATCCCAATCTCTCCATTATCACTGAGTCAATTAGCAGGTTTTAAAATCACCGATTGAACACCTGATAAACTGCTTTAGCAGCAGGTCAGGAGAGACTCGAGGGGTGGCCAGAAAGATCTGGCTTTGTCTGACAGGCTTTTTGTCTCCTTCACAGCCATCACAGGACAGACCTGGTAACCAGAGGCTTAACTCTTGTAAGTGTTATGGCTTAGATGGAGATCCAGCTTTAACTTATCAAAAAAATTTACAGTTGAAAGATAAAACAGCTGTTCCTTAGGGGTACAGCATCTGGTAGTAGATGGCTCCTCTGCGACGCTTATAAACAAAATTGAGTTTATTTAATCCCACTGAGTTTGCATGATTCTTCCCCTGTACATCCAAGGCAGTGAAGCAGTTATTGTAATCAATCATAAACATACATCCAAAGGCTCCCAAGTTCATTACCACGTACTTACAAGTGCATAAGCACTTGACTTCACATTACACTACACCAGTGCAGCTGGAAAGATTTAACTGAAGCTTTTCTCCACTTCTTCCAGTTCTTTTTAAACCAGAGCATCTTGGTGTACAGGTGAAACCAATGATGTCCTGGAGCTTGGAAGAAAGTCAATGTTTGAATTTAGGCACTGACTGAGTTCTCATCCCTCCAGAATTAGTTAGTCAACTTTTTCAACTCAGCCTTGTCAGACATTTGAGTTTAATCTGATGTGTGTTTTCTGGGTAGGTCCCAGCTTTATGAGTTGCAGTACAACATGGATCATTAAAAAATAGCATATTCTTGTAGGATGCTAATACATTGCTGAAGTGATGTTTCATCCTTCATCCACTCCCAAATTCACTCTGAAATAGCCAACAGGAAAAAAATAGCAATTTCATCACAAGGAACATCCCTCTGAGTCCCAAGAAGATGGAAACACCAGCTGCGTTGTGCATTTGGTTTTGCCTGCAAGAGAAGGTTTAGGCAGGACTGTGACTCTGTCCAAGAAACTCTGCAGAGAGCAAAGGGAGTGGACCCAGATAAATCTGGTCCCACTACTCTTTGTGCTGTGTTTGCTGGGAAATTAAGACAAAAGAAAGCAATGCTAAATGGCTATGAAATAGCAGCACAACAGCAAACAGCATTTTAGTGTAGTACTGTGAGGTTATTTGCATAACAAATTTTCCACCACTTTGTATGCATGTGTGTACAAATACAAATATAATAAAGACATTGAAACCTTACTTAACTAGAGTAGGTGTAGATGTTATTCTAGTGTCAGCATCTGTATTTCTGAACGAATTACAAGGCCATGCTACTAAAAAACAAAACCCTACAAGTAGACTTCTGAGTCTGATTTTGCTGATTTGGATGTGTTGTGAAACCAGCAAACCCTATTGGCATCACCAGGAGTTGCAATAATCAATTTTTATAAAATCAGTTTAGTTAGGAGTAAAATTTTCTGAAACCCCTGAACAGCTTTATGGGAGAAGTAAAATCTTTTATTGACTCAATTGAGATGATTAAAAAAAGAGAAGTTTTCAAGTTTGTGAACATTTCTTGACATTCCAGCCTCATAAGTCATATGAACTCTTCCTGTAAACTTTGTCTGTTGTACTGAGAGAATGATGGCCACAACAAAATTATTATAAAACTGACTTGGAGAATTTCACCACTTTATTTTTATGGGCTTAAAATTAGGCTCTGCATTTCTTGACTGACTTGATCAACGTGACCATGTACATTTTTGTTTAGGGCATTTAGGATTTATAGTGGTTGTGTATTGGGATTAAACTGGTTTCAAGGCTGTGTTGCTCTTCTGTTTCTTCCTATTTTCTATTCTTTTTGTATGCCATTTTGTCCTGAAAAACCTTGAATTTCAATGGCTTTTTTCCATTTTGTAGACCTAAATCTTCTACTGATAAAATCAGCAAGACCTACACCACCGGTGGTTGAAGAAGTACAACAAAGCCATATTTCTTGGATAAAATACACCAAGCAAAGGTTCTTCTTGTGAAGAGGCTGGTTTTAAAGGCTGGTTGATGCATCATTTGCTTTAACAGATTGACTTGCCTCCTCACAATGCAACTCGTTTGCACTCCTGTACTTCTTAAATAAGGAATAAACACCATAATGTATCACAAATTCTTCACATGAGGTCACTCATGAATAAAGGAAGTGTTTAACTGTGGCATTATCATAAAAATAATGTTTAGCCTTCTGTGAATGAATGACAGGGAAAATTTCTTTATCCAGTAGTTAAGTACAGTTCTGGTGGTCTGACACAGTGGTATAAGTTATATCAGAAGTCAAGTATTCTAATTCCCTTTCCATTTTTTTACCAAAAACTCTACAACTCACCTTAAATGTAGTACTGATTATTTTAATTTTTGTTATAGCCTGCTAAGTACACCAAATCATACTTATGCATTCTTGGAGGAAGGTTAATTAATTAACAGTAATAAAAATCAACCTTCTGAAACTCAAACTGCAATTAGTCCAGGTTATAACATATTTTGCAGTTGTAGTAAATGCATTTTTTGTTCAAAAGGAGACATTTTAATTACATTATCTGATTCTTTAGATAAATAGAAATAATTTTAAGACATAAAAGGCTTGCTGGAATAATTTAATTTTACCTTTCAAAAACATAGAGCCTAACCAAGCAGTTTACAAAGGAGAAATTTTGATAATGTTTTGTTCTTGCAGATTAAAAAAGAAATAAAAAGAAAGAAACTGGGAGGTGAAGGAAGAGAGAGGGAAGAGACGAAGGGGGGAGGAGCAACTTGCTATTCTAAATACTCTTTGATGTAATTTTTAATCTAGAATGAGAATTAGCTGATGGATTTACCTAGAAATTAGCAAAATATATAATCAAGACAACAGATTCTTATTTATTGTGAAATCTAGGAATCCAAGAGCATCTCTTAACAGTATATAGTCAAGTAGTGTGCAACTGACTTGCTTTGTCTTAACATTTTTAGAAGTGCCTAATAAGGAAAAATAAGAAAGCTTGTGTTAATAGCTAAGTTGATGTAAAAATAAAGTAATATTTATCCTCTAGAAGTAACAAATTAAGTGGCCTATGATGTTCTTAGCAATGAACACAACCAGCTCAGCCTGGTAAGAACAGGCAGCTTGCAGTACCTCAACACAGGCTCAAAATGAACTTATTTTTAACAGTTGCATAATTTGCCATTTGTAAATGGGTTTTAGTTCTTTTCAGTATTCCTGAAAACTGTAGCAGAAAACTGTGCTGGCATCTTGAAGGTTTTGGGGTTGTTTATTGTTGGCTTGTTGCTGATGGTTAGCAGAAGAGACACTTTCAGGTTCTGTTTGAGGAACCTCAGGCTCTCTTTTAGGCAGTTAAGCCTAACAGAATTAAGCCTGACATGTTTCAACTCTACTATTTTGTAAAATAAATATAAAACAATGGTTTAGATTTCTAGTAAAACTCTTGAACCATATGAGACTCAAACTTTCCCAGTTCCTTTACACATCTGTAAATAAAGACCATAAAAGAAGAACACAACAGGATAAATCAACACAAATTTGAAATCCACTGCAGCATATTAAATTGCGAGGTCTCTCTGAGAGAAAGGGCAACCCTGCAGCTTCTTGCAGTTTGAAGCTAATTGTTTTCGTCAGGATGGGAATGTCTGGAAGTCCACAGCAGTGTCCCACCAGCAAGGCTTCAGTAACTGAGCTGGCTTGCGGAGAATGAGGCCACTTTGTAGCAACACAGCAGGCTCAGACACCACCTATTCTGCTCTCCAAACTGTCATGCATAACAACTTCATTGTGCTAAATTGAACTTGAAAGCAACCAAAGGCTATGAGAAGGAGAGGCTATGAGAAAAGCATGCTGTCAGCACAGGCAAAAGCTGACCTGGAAAGTAAGCTCAGAGACAGAAGAATCAAAGACCAGGACCCATGAACACAGCATATTGTTTCATTTTAAAGTATGATTCCCATACTATCAAAAGTACCAAATGTGATGTAAATTTATTTAAATAAATTCCACAGCTTAAAAGTTTGCCAGCCGCTCTTATCCAACTTTCCCAGCTCTCTGATTCATTACTTACAGTGGGAATATAATGATATATAGTCATCATTGTAACAGCTTCTTTGCAGAGACACAATGATGATTAATAGCTAGCAGCAAATTTTCACATGGGCTCTGAAGCACTGTAGCGTTAAGCAAAACACTCCCAAATCCCCCTTTTCTGTTCCACTGAAAAGTAGTCTCCTTGTACGTTGCAGATATGAACAAAGCCTACCTTAATTCCAATCAGCTTTTCTCATTCAAGGAAACTTTCTCTTTTTCATAATTGATTCATGTGCATTTTTTAGTCTTTCACTGAGTCTGAGACTTTTCTTTTTGCTGGGTGGAGAGAGGAAATAATTTCAGTAATAACTGGCTTTGCTTTGTTTTTCTCTCCAAAATATATTTTGAGACATTTCTCAGTTAGTTGAGATAATGCACATTAAAAAGACACACAGAACTGAATAGGAAGCCTTAACTTTCTCTTCATTGAAAGCTTATTAACCACATGCACTGAGGGATGAGCTCAGAGAAAGAGCTCTAGTTGCATAAGTCAAAGACTGGAGAGCAAAAACAATAAGCTGTCTCAATTTTTTGTATCAATTCCCATTCCCATGAGAAACTTACAGCTGAAACTGGAATAAATTCATTTTTCCTTGTAAAATTATTTCAATGATAAGACAACTTTAAATAGAAGCATTTTATGAGATTTATTTAGAAATACCTAGAAATAGTTTATTTTTATTTAAATGTTTATTCACTGATGTGAATTTATTCTTTTTTACACAAATATCTTTTCCATGTTGAGAGAGAAAAAATATTTTTAGGACTGTTTCAGTGTTCCTTTCATCACTTCTAGTGTGATACACCTACATTTGGAGGCAGTAATGCTTGATTTACACCAGAATAAGCATAGGGCAGATTGACAAGATGCAATTTCAATTTTTATTAGGAAAAACAGTTTTAAAGAGAAAGAAAAAATTTGTACCAGTATTAGAAAGCTGAAATTTACATAGAAGGTTAGTTTTGTTGCCTCTCTGGAGGAAATTAAAATTCTATATCTCTACATATGTAACAAATACACTGTTAATATCAGACTTTGCACATTATTAGTGTTCCACTCCTGAACTGATGATTTGATCTGTCCAATCCAGAAAAGTATTCCTTTCCCTCCATTTGCATATTAGATATAATGTAGACAAGAACTGACTTTGAAAGTAGCATGTTGTCTAGGAATAAGTAGTGTTTGCTAAAATCCTTTCATATAACATGTGAGATGGAGAAGTAAATATATCCATCTCCAATTTTCTTTTACTTTCACTTTAAGAGACCACTGTGGTCAAGTTGTCCATAAATTTGGTGAGTTTATTGTCCAGAAGAATTTAAAATGTTCATCTTAACTTTGCTCACAATATATTATTTTGAAAGAATGAAAAATATCTGTGAATATTTTCAATTGTTTTTTATTCACAGAAATTTTTTATTTGTTTTGTGTCAGGGATGAAAGTCATTAGTGAGATGAATGGCATGGCAGATTGGGTTTATGATTTTCATCAAAATTTTCTTAAGATTACTTAGGAAATAACACTGCTTATCAAAGTCTCTCAAGAGATCAAATTTCTACTCAATTTCTTTATGTTGCAGCCCTTTGCAAGCCTGTCATGTTTGCTCCTTCTGTATGTTTCACAGATTTTTACCCTGGTGTAAGTTAGCAGAATTTTGCATGATTTAATACACATGACCCAGAACTTGATTCAGGCTCATAGGATTTTTGTCAGGTGTTATTAATGCTCGGGGAAGTAAAGGTTGCATTTCAAAACTTGGATTCTTTTGCTCTATCAGTGTGTGAGATTCTCTCCCCTTAACTAAATGATATACTGCTTTGAAGAAAAACTTGCATTGTTTTCTGCAAACAATTTCACTTTTGACATTTAATTGTAATTACTTGGCATTTAATTGAAAGAGTTAAGAATAATTTAAGTTCTAATAGCTATTAGTGAATTGTATTGAATAACACTTGTTTTGCAGATATTTAAGAGGGACTATCACTGGAAATATTCCCAGGTACCTGGAAATCCAAAGCTGCATATGAATGAGGGCAGTCCGTTCACTAGTTTATGGGTCCTAAGTTCCTCAGATGATGTCACAAATTGGCCCAGTGTCCCTTTGAGCAGTGTTTTGTCTTTGAAACTCTGAATTTTCTGCAAAAAACGTAAAACCTTTTGTAGTCTGTACACTCCCCATTGACTATGCTTCTGAGAAGCCCTACATGTGTTGTTTATTTCAGCAAATATGTAGAATCATACACACTCCCAACAGCCTCAGACAATGGTATGCAAAAAACTGGCATGGGAGGCTAAAATCTCAGATGACCTACCCTTTTCAGGATGTGTCAGCATGAGCATATTCAACATGTCAACATGTCCATGCATACTAAAGTATATTTTGGAGGAGAGCAGGGTCCCAGCACAACTAGGGTTTCACAGCATTTGTTCTACTTTTTGGGGCTGCCTATGTAGGAGTTTCACAAAGACCAGCTTTAGGTAACTGCAGTGTTAGATGGGAAAACCCCTTTCACAAGCAGGTTTGTAGGCATAGGATATAGTTTGCTGAAAATATTTGATGGATTTAACTCAAGGGCACAGTCAAATATTCTTGGTCCTTGCAGAAGTCTAGTTCTGAATCTCAGACTTGTATACTCAGTGAATATTACACTCTGTTTTCTCCTACACTGTGAACTTCTAAGCCACAGACTTCAGCTATCTTCCCTCACTTTGAAAAATGTCATTCCCCTTCCACCA